TCTTCCAATATCACAGTGTCTCAATATACATTGGATAAAAAAAATGTGTAAAACTAATTTGACTTTAATCTTTCAAGATGTGAACAAATTAAATTGCTTAAATTTCTTTAATGTTACATTAAATAGTATGAAGGAATACTAAAATTCTTCTCATATTCTTTGATAATTTGCTCAACTTTAGGAGGACCTCATCTGCAACCTAATAAATTAAGTAGTGAAAAATATTTTGTTATCTAGAACCATTGAGCTTAAATCCATCCAAGGCTGCGCAGAACAGCAATCCCATAATCTTGTATAACAGCCTTTAGAAGTTCACCTTGACATCATGCTTTATCCTTGTTGCAATGGATATGACAACACAATTGGACCACCGTTTAGCGCCCAAATTGATTCTTGAATGATTTAAGATGACAGCACAAGGGTTTGATAATTCTAGCGAATCCAGGAGGAACTAGTACCATGACAACCAAAACCATTGGCATCATTATGGTTATGTCTAGAACTTTTCTTTCTTGAACTCTTTTCTTTCTTCATGCCAAACCTTTCTTGTATCACCATTTTCTTTAACTTTTTTCTTTTTGGACCTTTCTTTGGAAGCAGATTTCCTTATTCTTCTAGAGGATTGAGCACTAGCATTGTTTGTTATTCTTATTAACACTGAAAATGGAAAGAAAATTATAACTAGCCCAACAATTGTCCAATACTATTTTCTTTTTTCATTACAAAGAATTCTTATTGAGATGTTTCAAAAAAAAATTAAAAGAGAAGGTTGGAAAGGGAATCAATTTAGAGATACAAGGCTTTCACTAAAACTTCTAGAAAAGGTAGAACAAATAGTCATATGAATCGAAAAAGAACAAAAATAACCTGGTGACTATTGTGATAAACTAAATAACATAATGCGAAACTAAGATTACTTGCATGCTTCAATATACTCAATTTGGAAAAGCTTAAACTTTCACAATTTTCTTTTAACACAAGATGATCCAAGACAATCCACCACAAAGTGATCAACATTACTATTAATCGATTTTTCAAGGAAAAAGAACACTAAAGATAACGATATGTATTATTTTTCAACTTCACTATAAATAATGCCTAGAATAATCATTTGGATTGTAGTTAAGTAGATCCTGTGGTAATATATTTTAGGAATGAATAACTTTACGCAAGATGTCACCATTATCTAACAGAGTTCATATAGATAATCCTATAATCTACACCTGTTTCACCATAACAACAAGGGTGGAAACAAAGACACGAGATTGTAGAATTGTTGTTTCGAAAACCCATGGTCAATAGCATAGATAATTCCCTGCAGCAACCATGAGAACAAGGGTAGAAATGAATGCAACAATTGTTTATTATAAACTAAAAAACTAAAGTTTAATAAATAGCTCCAAAGTGAACATATCTTATCTCTAAAAAAGATAATTTTGGCTATAATAAATGCAACAGAGAATGAAAGAATAATGATAGATTTCTCTACTTACGAAGAATTTTGTGTCCTTTTTTATATAAATCACACCCTAAAATAATAATCCATGTGTTGCTCGGCTCCCAAACTAAAAAATGAAACCACAGCTTATAAGTTGCAAGAAAACTTGGACTAATCAATTTTAGATAGCACAAATGCATATCTTGGGAATTCAAAAACAAAATGTTGTTTCACTAATGATCTTACATGCCAGAGGCACCTCTTTCTTAAAAGAAATATTAATTTTCTAAGTTTGAGTCTATGCATTGGGCATAGCATGAGTTAAGCAATACCAGAGGACTAGCCTTTATGTGCCTCTAATAAAAAGAGTTCTTTATTATCAAACCCGGCAAATATGTCTAGGAAAATTGTTGTTCCAACAAATTGAAAAAGAATTTAACCTACCGTAGAAAGAATCAAAGAATTATTAAGAACTAAACTAAAATTAACAAAAAAAAAATCTATAAAAAAAAACCATATATCATGAACGTCACAAACACAACTACAAGTGATAAAATTTTCACAACCTCAATGTGATTAACTAATATTGCAAGGTGGAAAAAAATGAAAGTCAAAGGCTAAGAAACAAAAAGAGAAAGAGATTACACAAATACATTCTCACACTCAAACAGTGGACACATTCAAACCCACAATCCTCTTTATTTATTTCTTACCCTTTTGATCCGACTTGACTCGCCAAACAAGAATGGCCCGTTTCACGTTCATGAACTTGAATTCTTCCTCTACTTCCTCAGGGATCGCTCATTTCTAATCTATGTAGAAAATCCCAAATCATATCATCTCCAATCCACAAAAATGGATCATCATATATAAAAGGATTTCGTCAATACTGAAGGATAGAAAAGCTTGACTGTTTTTAATTTATTATCACTTAGCATTGATTTCGATCTCTCTTTTTAGCTTCTCTGGAAGCCTTCTTGGAAGGAAAATGGGTGGGAGTGTTTTTTCTCTTATTTCCTTTTGCATTTGATCAAGATCACGTTATTTTCCTTTTAGCTTGAGGCAACGACAAGCAATTGTCGTTAGCTGCTTTTCATGGACCAATGGACAGATGGTAGAAAATTATGAGTGGGGCGAGAAAGTGGAGCATAGGAGGGGCAGAAGTTTCTATTCCCATATACATCAAATATAAACATTATATTTATTCTTGATTTTCTCAATTTTTTTATATTTTATTTTTTATAAAAAATAAATATAAAAAGTATCGAAAACTTAAATAATTAAAATTTGTTTAAATTCCATCCAATATGATAATTATATTTTAATTTTACTTTTTAATTTTTTAATTATTTACTAACAAAATAAATTCTGAGTAAGGTTGAGCAACAGTTCAATCAGTTGGTTTTGATTGTAGAAAGGGTAAATCTAAAAAAAATTTTGAGTAGTGTTATAATAATAATAATAATAATATATAAATATGTTAAAATCTATAAAATAGAATTTTTAACATTAAATTAAAAAAATGTAAATTCAGTACATTTATTTAATATTTTCATGTAAAATATTTAAGATAATTATAATTATCCACAACAATTTTTTATTTTTTGAAAACGGTATATGATGGCATCAATAGAAACACTATCAAATACATCTTTTTCAATATATGTTACCAAGTAATCATTTATCCTCTCATTACTTATTCGATTGCGTAGTCTATGTTTTATAAATTTTATTACTGAAAAAGCTAACGTTGTTGCAACTAATAAGATCAATGCAAGTTTTACTAGCAAATAAATTAAAAGATGCATAATATTTCTATTTGTTTATAAAATAATCAAACAATATATCTACAAAATAAATAAATAAAAAAACTCATAATTTCAAAATATTATTTGATATACAATACTATTTTCTACTAGCTATATTATAATTATGAACCCAAACTATTAAATTAATAAAAAAATTTATATATAAAGTATTTAAAAACTTAATTTGAATTGAAAATTATTTAAAATAAAAGCTTAGATGAATTGTTTTGAGATAGTGAAAAACACAACCAAGAGCTAAGAAAATGAGGCATCACTACGGATTTAAAGAGTAAGATTTGAATTTTTGAAAAGAATGAGTAGTTTAGGTTTTAATTTTTTTAATAAAATCTTAAATTATAATAAAAAATTATTTTATTTTTTAATATTTAAATATTAATATATAAATTATTTTTAATAAATCTACTGTAACTCCGCTCCTTATAAAATTACAAAAAAAACTTAATAAATTCATGAGTATCATTAATTATATAAAACTTAAAATAAGTAGTATAATAATTAAATATTTTTTGTAAAAGCAATATAATCAATAAATATTTTTTACAAATGAGGTCTACCCCTGATTGTGGAGTAGATCATAGTTGACCAGACAGAACATGGTGGCAAAATCGACCAAATTTGGTAAGGAACTAATCAGATCGTGATCAACCATGGTCGGTCGGTTATGGGTTTTGGTTTTGCCTTTGAAATTTTTCTAAAAATTAAAAAAAAAACTATACAAGCTCAATCCATGTCAATCACAATCCTTGACTATCTTCAACAAATTTGAACTAAATAATGAAGGTTAATTAACAGAAAACTTCAACAAGATCAATCATAATTATATTATAACATTACCCAATATTAAAAAAATAAAAGAAAAATGATGGTCGGTTATTCAGTTGATATCAAAGGGAAGGATTCCCCACCAAGGACTTAAGTCGAGAAACCACAGAAGGCGCTGCCCTCAACCAGCTCCTTAATCGGAGCCGATCAACCAACCCATTTCCAACCGAAAATCATCGGGCCCAGTTGGTTGACAACCCGGGACTCAGACCTACATTTGAGTGCATAAATCAGAGGAGTTAGAGTCCCAACATTTCAATTTATTGAATTTTACCACTATATTTTTAATTTTTATTGATTTTTTTAAAAAATAGAAATGAATGTTTTACAAAATATGTCATTAATGCAAACAACAATTTTGTTTGTTTTTTATTTTTATTCAAAAATCAACAAAATTATAGTGATAAAATTTAATGAAAATTTGAAATTTGGTGATAAAATTTAACATTGACCCATAGTATAGTAAAATTTGACTTTAATCCCCAAATAAATAACGAGATAAGTTTTATCTTTGCAAACCAATTGTAAAATGTAATTTAATGTTTTAGATATTTAATTAATAAGCTTAGTTTAAACTTATATACCTTAAATGCTAATGTATAATCTCCCTTATAATTAATCAAATTGGAAGAAGTTATTGAAAATTTTAGTTAATAAAATGTTAGTCACGGACATTTGAAGTAAATTTAAATTGATACCAATTAAAATTTAGAGAATTAGTAATAGGAACGATAGCTTTTTGACAAAAATAATGAAAATTAAAACTTTGGTAACTTATGGAACTTTTACCTGAAGATCCTTTATCCTAACTTAAATGTTTATTATTATTTTTTATATTAAGGTTCTTCTTATGAATTTTTAAAGAATTTATTGTCTTCTTAAAACTTTTTCAATTCACTGGTGCAGAAAAATTAAAGAAGAAATATTGCAGAATAATTAAGAAATTAGGAGGAAGAAGGAAAAGAAGGGGAAAATCCATTTCCATATCCAATCCCCGATCCCAAGCCAATATGGAAAATGAAAGTGAAAGCTCCGGTTCGGTACTTTTCATCTCGTTCTGGATCAGCGTATCCACAACTTTCAGACGAATTACTAAACTAAACTGCCACCTGCAAACGCCAACATGACGCGCCCTCTACCCACGCGCCAATCTGCCACGAGGCAACCACCCGCTATGACCTTAGCTTCCCGTGCTGCAAAGGCGAAGGTTGTTGAATATTCCTGAATCCAACCAAACTAACGACCACATTTGCGCAAAGTTTACAACATTTTCACAAAACAAAATCTCTTCATCGGAAATATCAATGGGCAACACGTCGTCGATGCTTACTCAATACGACATCGAAGAAGTACAACAACACTGTAACAACGCGTGTAAGTCACTCGCTATCGCTGCCATTTACCTAAATTTACTCTCCAAATTTGATCTTGTAACTAGTTTAGGCTTTTCCTATCGGTTGATTTTGTGTGTTTTTCTGATCGATCTGCAGTTTCGCAGCAAGAGATCGTGTCTCTATACCAGAGATTTTGCCAGTTGGATCGAAACGGCGGCGGTTTCATCTCCGCCGATGAGTTCTTGTCCGTGCCTGAGTTCGCCGTTAATCCTCTCTCTCAGGTTTTCTTCTTGTTTTCAATTTGTTTATTTTCTGTCTTTAAAATATGCGTCGTCAGAGTTTCTTTCTTTTTTTTTTTTGGTGAAATTATGTTTTTTAAAATTTGGCAGAGACTATTGAGGATGCTAGATGGATTGAATTTCAAGGAATTCGTGGCGTTTTTGTCTGCGTTTAGTCCTCGTGCTACTCTGCAACACAAAATTGAATGTAACGGTTCCTCAGTTTTTACTAATTAATTTAATATCAAGCTTAGTTAATTTCTGCCCTTTTTTTCATTTTTTACTGAAATTTGCAATTTTAAATCATTTATTTTATAGTTATATTCAAGGTGTATGATTCGGATGGCAATGGGAGAGTTACCTTTAATGACATGTTGGATGTTTTGCATGATTTGACCGGCCAGTTCATATCTGAACAACAGAGGGAGGTTAGTTGTTAATTAAATTTTCTATTAGTTTAATGCAACTTTTTTTTTTCTTTGCTCTTTGTTTAGTTAACAGGAAAAACATTTGGAATTTGTGTTGTGTCACTGGGCTGTTGTTTAAAGTGCAAAATAGGATAAGCAGCATTTTTCTAAGAAAAAGTTTGATATTATTCAATTTCTAAAACAAATTATCATCCAAGGTATCATACTTTTTGCTGGCTTTCAAGGTTACTAATATCAAACAAATCAATGCTGAAGACAAGACTGGATGTAGAAGGAGAAAACACGTTGCAATCTTCAGATATTGTATTAGAAAGCACTCAAAAATTGTTGTTTTCTCTGGAATTGAATTTGATTAAAAGAGATATGCCACAATAAGTCTGCAAAATTTTTTTCCTGGAACATTGATGAAGAGAATGGAAAATGTGGATGTTTCTTTGTCACTGTAGTTTCAATTTCAGTTGGTGTTAGAAATGCCTTTGGTTACTGACTGCCAAACCGTGATTTTTCTGCTGAGATAATCAAACAATACTCAAATGAAGTATACATTTCTTTGCATTTAATTCTTTTTGTCACTAGAAATTATGATTTTGAGATTTGTTGCCTTATATTGATGTGTTTTTGGTGTTTGGCCCAGCAAGTTTTGACCCATGTTCTCGAGGAAGCAGGCTACACTAAGGAGTCCTTGTTAGTTATGGCAGACTTTGTAAAGGTACCATTGCCTTTATATCTGATATTTCTGTTTTTCAACATTGGAATAGCTTCATTTTGCTTTGAGTTATTTATAACACATGTGAATTTTGGAATGTTCTTACAATGTGCATTCACTAAGACGATTATGGAAATGAGTAAGACTGGATTAGCTCTTACGAAGCTATTAAGACAAAAACACAGAGAGAGAGAAAGTTGGATGATAGAGTTGTTCTTAAATCGGTCATACATACTTGATGAATTTATTTCTTGATCTTTTAACATTTAAAATGAGGCCAAAACTTTGAAATGTTTGTTCATAGATTAAATGATTATGGAGATATCTCTTTTGAAGCTCAATAGACTCAGCTGGTAGGCTTCTATATCAGCGTTTCCTATTTAGGAATATAATAGTATGTTGTTTTGTGAGAATATGCAATTTAATGGAGGATACTGATGTCAAGAGAAGGAGAGGAAGACCAAAGGGGACATGAATGGAAACTATAAAAAATCTCCTCTCTTTTCCTGAATTTATTGAGGATACAGTATTGAATAAGAGCACAGCTATACAGTATGATCCATATAGCTGATTCTAGGGTGGGGAAATAGCTTAGTTGTTGTTGCTGGTGGTGAATTCATAATAGACCAGATTAGTGCTGGAATTTGCTTCTCTTATTACAGGAAGGTTATGTTCATTACAGTTATCAAGTCAAGCTTTATGTAAACTGGCATTATGGGTCACTTTGGAATCTGGTATCATACCTTTGCCGTTATAATTATGATTTAATTTGTTTACCTTCTGAAATCTAGTTGATATTTTGGATAAGAAAGTCATTGTAGGTAGCAATGTCTAAATAGGAGGCAGAGTCTGCTATTCAAGACTCTCAAGCAAGTAAAGTATGAGAATGGAAAGAAAAAAAGAGGTAAAAGAAGTATTGTGCGTCATTTATAAAACATGGTTTAGTTTTCTAAACCATAATAGTTTCTCAAATTCTGCAAATTTTAGGGAAACTGTTGAGCAGGAGAGGAGGAGGTGAAAAGGAGAAAAATCATCATGCTCCGACAACTAAAGTACCATAAAAGGGCGCAATGAGAAGAATTATATTCAGCCGTTTATCCATCAAAGCCTCAAGTAAAGTGTAGCCATATCATGGTTTGCTGTAACTAAGTTCTGAGGAAGATCTTTTTTTTTTAACCATGGAAGAGCATACTCTAACTACCGCTGCAGATTTTTTTTAGCTGTCTAAGTTGGGTTTTATGGTGTCACATCACTTGATTTTGACAATTGTGTCTGCATTATTTGATGAATCAAAGTGCATTTGAATTCTAGTCTAATTTGAATGGTTCATGAGCTAAAATTAGAGTACCTTGCAGTAGTACAAGTTAACAGGAGGCAGAGGACAATGTGACCTGATACTGAATAGAGCAACACTGATAAAGTCTCTGTTTAAGTCTGCTTGTGATAGGACAGAGTCTCAACTATAGAGTGTGCTCAAGCCTACTTGGTAGCTTTGTCTCTGTGTATATGATTTTTGGTCCAATTGAGCTGTGCCCTGAGAGCTTAATGTCTTAATTAGCTTGAAATTTGGAACTTAAATAGATTCAATTTGTCTTGCACTTCTATCCCAATTGTTGTATTTGTAGCTCTTGGAATTAATTCATTATATTCTTTCACTATTTTTGGATGAACATATAGAATATATTTGCATAATCTGTGCTTCTATAGATGATCAGTGCTTTTAAGATTAGCCTGGTTTGCTGTTCACTTTGCTTTCTTTCAAGTTTTGTAATCTTGAAACATTTTACTAATGTAATACTCTGCAAGATGACATTGCTAACATCTTATGCTAATTTTGCTTGTTTTATCATCTACATTAGTATGTGTGTGTGTGTGATAAGGTTTTCTTTTTTGGTATCTAATGTGTCTGTAAAGCTCTTATATTGCATACAATTTGACTGCGCTTCTAGCAGATTCTTGGGAGCTCTGGACTGAAGATGGAAGTTGAGGTTCCAGTGGATTGACTTGAGGGAAACCATTCTTTACTACATTGAATTCCAGGCATCGGCAGCTTAGATGTCTCTTTTAAAAAGGTTGATGTTGTATGCTTTTGTTTTAATGTGTCTAGTTAACTCCGTCAATTTAAAAAACTTAGCCTTTTTGCATGTCACCAAACTTAATGGGAAGGAGAAAAAGAAAGTAGCATCTCTCCTTTGTTCGAAAAACATTTTACTGGGAGGGATCGGAAGAGATACATTTATCCTTCCAAAACCCTGCAAACTCCCATTTTTTGTATTGACAAATGTCTTTATTTATTTATT